ACAACGATAAACATCTGCTCAGAGAAACAGAATGGAGTGTGGAATGAAGTGGAGACTACATGGCCCCCTCTATTCAAATCTCAGCAGAATGGGGGAACATTGTGGTCCTGAGACGTTGGTACCTTCTGCCAAGGGAGAATCAAGATGTTCTGCTGCTGAAGGCAACAGCCATGTAAAACCCTATCCTCAGGTGACAAGCCATGACCACTACCACCCCCATGCGGTACACCAAACAGAAATAAAAGGTATTTATGACTAGAGACACTCAAATTTCACCCAAACATAAAGAAAATAGTATAAAAGTAAGATGGAGATAGGGGGAAAGTGAGAGAAGACCTCCTCCAAAACTGTTGGGATCAGTCGATGGGCTGAGGCCATTCCCCCCCTCCCCGGAGCGATGCCTTGGGGGAGAAATATACTCTACACATATTAAATGCTGCTTTTAGGACTAGAGCTCTTGTTTGTTCTTTTCTCTTAGCACATCAGTGAGATTGCTTCATATCAGAGCTTGTGCTTGCTTAATGTATGTATCAGTAGATTGCTTTAAAACATATTTTTGCAGTAGACACTCTCACCTTCAAACCTTATTAAACAGTCACAATTAATATAGTGTTATTCCATGAAGTGTTAAAGTGAGTCCCTGAAGTTGCCAGCAGTGGAAAACACCACGGCAGGACCCGCTGAGGGGTCTTCACTCTGTTAAGTCCCCCCACCAAGGGCAGTCAAAGCACCCTCTGACCTTGTGAATCTGCTGGTGAAGGGTCTCGTTACAAGTGACGGCAGAGAAAACCACAAAAGCAGTTAAAGATGACTTAGTTGGTAAAACACCTTGCCCTGCTGAGACAGGTGAATTTAATTGCCTAGTGTTTGCTCCACCTCTTTTGCTACGAGAACATTGAAGAAACACTGGTTAATGTCTTGTTCTGCCCTGCCTAATGGACCAAGGTTTCATTATAGAAAAAATGCTAGGGAGTAGTACAAAATAGGCCACAAGGTAATAAATCAGGTAAACTACATGTTTAAAGTAGATATAGGAAGCCCAGAGCCAGGATTTCGCAAGCTTGAAGAATCTAGGTCACCTAACAAAGAAAGTTGAAAAGTTCAACCCCGAGGAAGACAACCGTGATGACCACCAGAACGATGGAGGCTTGTTGTCATCCACCCCAGTGAAAGACTGAGCATGAGCCAATGAAGATTCTCAAAAGCTCTGCCTAGACACCATCTGGACTCCACCTAGTTATTAATATGCATGTCAGAAGGTGTAACTGTGTACTTAAAAAGTATAAAATGGCTTGTTTTACACTTTTGGGAGAAGCGAGTCTGTGCAGTGAAAAGTGCCTCGCTCCCAACGTTGCAATAAACAAATACCTTGCTGCTTAAAGATGCAAAGTCTGAGCAGTTCTTTTATGCCAAGTTTTTTCAGCATCACAAGACCCTGATGGATTGTTGGGCACCACGGTATCAACTTTCCTGGGGGTACTGACTGGCAAAAATCCAAACTCCCACCTTTCATGAGACAGTGTCCATCCACACTTACATATAATATCTGAGAAATTAATTAGTCTAAACTCTGGTGGTAATAATTTAATTATAACAGCATTAGTGCTTGTCTTAGTTTGACATGATTGCAACTTAAAAAATTAAGAAACTTCAGGTGGAAGTGTGGAAAAGGAAAAGGAACAGCTTTCTATTAACAAAATCTGAATGAACAACAAATGGTGCAATCAAAAACTTTCAGAAGAAACAAAACAAAGTCCCAGTTCCCCAGGTGGGAGAGAGAAACCCACGGCAACCTGGCTGGGGGGTGAACAGGACTGTCCTGGCAGTTCAACAGCTGCTCCCAGCCATGAAGCCACTCAATTGAGGCGGTCTTTGAGAAACGAAAGGTTAACTCAAACACAAAATTGTGGAAATAGTTCCAAAACCCTAGCATTAGGAAACCACAGAAGTAATAAATTGTCAGAGGAACGGAACATGTTGACAAGATAGAACACTTAAAACATAAAACAAAGAGATAGCAACATCAGCAAATCTTAGGACGAGCCAAAAGTCAACCTGACCCTACCACACTTGCCAACTATCCAAATTAGGGAAAGATCTGAGGAAAGTTCGAAAGTTTACAACAATGAAGAAGAGCAAACGACCACTGCCCATGATGAAGCCTACAGGAACTCCCACCTCTAAACCTCCCCAAATTGAAGACTCCGCCTGTATATGAATATTACAAGTAGATGTTGCAATTTAATGAATATGCATGTTTATGATGTAATCTTATGCTCTAAAACTGTATAAAAGAACTGTGCTGATTGTACACGACAGAGTTCTTTGTCCAGGGCGACTTCGGAACTCTCCAATGCGTTGCATTAAAATACCTCCTGCTTTAAAGAAACAAATCTTTATCTCTAAAGCAGTCTCTCTGTGCTTTTTTGGGGCGAAAATTCGGTTTCAGCCACATGTGCTCGCAGCCAGCACTGAAAAAAAAAAGTCCTTTTTCCCACGGGCAGTTCGAAGGCAGAACACCTCGCTCTGAGATGGGTCAGTCTCTCTCACTCCACGAGGTGTCCCATGGGGAAAAACACCTCTTCCTCTCAGGAAAAGAAAATGAGGCAGCCGAAACCAGGCTCCTCACTCTGTCTGGGAGAACAGACTCCCAGCCGTCCCCACAGCCACAACGTTTCCCCAGGAGTGCTCACCCTCTCTCCCCCACTGCCCAGCTCGTGTGGCTTTGCTCCCCCCCATCCCGGAAAAAACAGATGGGAGGGGGGAGGGACACTGGGAAAAAATTCCAACATCTCTTTTCGTTCCAGTTTAAATGAGACAAGGGTCTTTTGTTGAGGATGAGTTATGAGAAAAGACCCAAACTCCTCCCTCTAAGCAATTATAAATGCAAAATTTTTTTTTTTTTAGTTTGTTACTGGTTTTCATTTTTTTAAATTCTTCATAGGGTTTTGCTGTTTTAAATGCAGAGTTAGACAAGGAGAAACAAATATAAAGTATATTTTAAAAAGGAGTCTAAAAGTTGCTTCTTATTGTGAGATACTGACACAAAAATTTGTACACAGACAATAATGAAAGTACATTATTAGCTTATGGGGGTGTCTGCACACATAAACAGTCACCATGCAGATATTCCTCTCAAGCAACTCACACACCAAACCTCTGGTAAAAGAAGACTGCAAACAGAACTGGCAACATAGCAGGTGATACCCAAAACATTGTGAGGATTAAAAACATTGCTGTGATGCCAAGAGAGCCTGATAAGGTTACACAGCCAGACAAGTGTACAATTATATGCCAATCTCTCTCAAACACCAGGCTGACAGGCTTCTGCAGAAATTGTTGTCAGCTAGATTTGTTCTTTGCAGGTGGCTATGCTTCTGCACACAGAGCCACTAAGACAATCAGAGGGATGGAACGCCTCTCCTACAAGCAAATGCTGAGAGAATTGGGATTGTTCAGCCGGGAGAAGAGAAGGTTCCAGGGTGATCTAATTGTGGCTTTCCAGGACGTGAAGGGAGCCTACAAGAAAGCTGGAGAGGGACTCTGAACAAGGGCCTGGAGTGACAGAACAAGGGGGAATGTAGGATATTACAATCTAGGAAGAAATTCTTCTTCATGAGGGTGACAAGGCACTGGTCATTCTGGTTGCCCACAGAAGCTGTAGCTGCCTCATCCCTGGAAGGATCCAAGGCCTGGTTGGACAGGGCTTGGAGCAACCTGGCATATCCCTGGAAGATATCCCTGCCCATAGCAAGAAGTTGGAACTGGGTGGTCTTCAAGGTCCTTTTCAAGCCAAACCATTTCGTGATTCCATTTCTCCTCAGTGGCTTAGCCGGCCTGGGTGCCAGCGCCTGCCTCGGGTGCGTTCAGGGCTCCCCTCACCTCCCGACCGCGGCTGCCCCGGGAGGGCCCGAGACCCGCGGCAGCTCCTCCGCCTGGCCCCGCCCCTTCCCCTCCCCGCCCAATCGCCACCGCCACGCGCGGGACTTCCGCGTGCGCGCGCCGACCTCACAGCCAATGGCAGGCGGCGGCAGCGCCTCCCCCCTCCCCCCGCCATGCGGAGAGAGCGGCGCGAGCAGCGTCCCCAGCGCCGAGACCCCCACAGCCCCTCCGGCCCCACAGCCCCTCCGGCCCCA